TAATCAACCACACGTGACACCAGACTGGCGGAGGATTGAAAAAAAAGAAACGTCCTCGCTGAGACGACGAGAACTGACTTTCCGGATGAAATTCTACGCGAATCCGGCTGCAGTTTGACATCAAATAGCAAAGGAGACGAGGGGATCTCCTCTCTTCACTCTTGTTCCTTCTCTTTCTCTCTCGCGGTACCTTACGCGGTAGCAGAGTGCCGTTTAACTAAAATTCCCGACCATTCTCTCAAGCCGGAGTAATGATTCCGTACAAGCACGCACTAGCCTTCCATTAAGCCCCCGGTTGGACGAAGATTTTGTCCGACGAGTAAGAAACACGACAATCACCAGTAGGTGGAGAAAAAGGCAGAGGAACGAGCAGAGAGGCACGTGAGAATCGCGAGATCTTCGTCCTTTCGATTTCTCTAGTCTGTTGGTATTCGGATTCGTGGCATGACTAGATGTATTTTTCATTAGGATTTTTAGAACGAAGTGTTCGAAGCGTTTTGGAATCTTTGACCTCTTCCTTTCTTCTTCGATTTCTCCAGCTGATTAATAGTATGCGTTTCGATAGATAAATATCTTTGTAGAAATTTTATGAACGAACTTTCCGACTGCGAGTCGGAGATGCTTCTATTGTAGAAAAATATATTAAAATACCACCTTGGGAAAATTACTTTTTCAATTCGAGCGAATGAATCACCCAACATCTTATCTTGCCTCAATAGAACCCTACCTAATTTCAAGTTCAATAACAGTGGACTCAACGTAATTCGTCGCTGTCCCCTGATTCTACTTCTACCAAGCTTCTACGAGACGGCCATAAGTTCCTTTCCGAGGAAGGAAACGAGACAGATCCACAGCTTTCGGCTGTTGTGTCTACGAAGTAAACATCGACAGAAGAAGTCAGCGGAGAATATACAATCAGCGTGATTGTTTGACACCCCATAATCAGCATCCTTACCCCTACCAGCGTTAGCAGCGTCTTTGTCTCTCCTCTCCCTCTCTGTCCTCTCTTCTCTTGCTCGTTTCGAGCAACAGGCAGGAGAGGACTCGCGAACCTTCCTCCCTTCAATTCTCTGCACCAGCTCTTCAGGTACTCAGCGCCGCTTGCCACTGGCGGGGCCTCATTACCCCGATCACGACTCGAGATGAGACTGCAGGCAAGAAGACGAGAAACGGACACGGTTATATTATAAGAGACAGGAATAACGCTCGCTTCCCTTTTTTCTTCACCTGCAGAAACCCTCCTAGCCCCGAGATTGTTGCTGTACGAGCTCGTTTCTGTTGCGTTTATCGCGAATCGAGACGGTGTACTTGTTCGAGATTGGCAAGAAGGCTGGCGAAAGGAATGCTTCTCTGATTGGCGCGCCGGCTACCGTGGAACAGTTTTGCGCTTGTATTTCACGTGTCGTACGTAATATTTTACCATGGTAAAATTCAACAATTATCGATGTAATTGTAAAATTTGTCGCGGGATTAACGTTCGGTGCGGTCTTCTTGCTTGTCGACCTGGCTAGTTTCTCAAGACGAGAAGAATGGCACATGCGCCGCTTGTAATCCTTCGCGAGGTATTTTCAAACTGATTAATCCACTCAGTCACAATAGAAGAATATCCTCAGACACTTTTCATTTTCGGTAATCGGTATTTATTGTAGAAAATAAAATTTCATCAATATATCGATATCTGGCGGATTCTTTGTTCTTTTATTTTAATTCTGCCGTACTCTTTCATAGGGATCCGTCGTGATGTATCGATGTCATTCTTTCATCGAGAAAAGGAAAGGCAAAAAAATATTCTGCTCGACTGAAAATAGTATTCAAAGTTCCCTCCTCTAGCGAGATAGAAGGCGGTTCGATTCATAGTCGGTGTAAACGCTGCTGGCCGAGTCACGATCGGCAGTGATCATGTAGGTGAGATTTAGAGAGCAATCACGGGCAAGGAGAGACCGGTGGCGGAGCAGAAAGAGAGACGAAATAGCGAGGAGGAGGAGGAGGAGGAGGAGGAGGAAGAAGAAGATTACGAAGAAGAAGTAGAAGAAGAAGAAGAAGAAGAAGAAGATGAGAGGAGTGGAAGAGGTTCGATTCAACAACGTCTGGCATCGCAAGCGAACCGAACCCGAGACAAAAGGAGGAGTTGGCTGCCAGCAGCGAACGGCAAAAACAACATGGATCCAGCTCTCGATCGATCGAGAAGCGATCGATCGATCCCTGGTATTACGCAGACGTGCACGTGAGTAGTACGTGAGCCGCACCGGCGCTGTCTTGTAGGTTGCACCGACTGTAAATTCAGAGGTGCATCTCTCTGAATCGGTGCCTTGACTCGAAAACGCTCAGAAAGAGAGAGAGAGAGAGAGAGAGAGAGAGAGAGAGAGGGAGCTGGCCACAACAGAGGCAAGAAGGATGAGGAAGAAAATTGCATCCACCGACGCTCATTTCGCACTCTCTGCGCTCATTCGTACGTGTGCTCAGGCCCTTGAATCTGCTCATTAGGCGCGAAGAAAGAAGGAGAAAGAGAAGAAGAAGAAGAGGAGAAAGAGAAAGAAGAAGAAGAAGAAGAGAGGAGAGATGAATGAGTTGACTGGTAAATTTCGCCGCGGACTATTTCCATTCATGTGATAGGCGTGAAAATGCGAGCATTACGAGTGGACGATCGTTCAGTTGGAAAAATAATTGCGATTTTTTGGAGAGATTCAGAGTGGAGAAGAGACGAAAGTTAACTATTTTCTTAACTGTTGGAGGGATACTAAAATGGCCAAGTGTAATAGGAGATGTTCTTCTTCTTTTCGAGTATAGTAGCTATAGTAGAAACGTCCTTTTCATTTATCATAAATAATATTATTATTACACAATTGACTGAAAGTGAAAACAATAATCTAATGGATCCAAGCCATCCTTGCAAATCTTTGTAAATACATCTAAGTTGGTGAAATTTGAAATCGATATACTGTGATAAATATTCGGACTAGATCGTGTATTATGCAAGGGACTCGAAATAATTTCAATTACGAGAAATCGATTGAGAAATTACTGCAAAAAAAAAAGAAAAAAAAAAAAGAAATAAATCTGAAACGTGAGTTACCGCGTTGTCGTCTTATAATCCTCACATAATCTCGCCGTTTCAGAGAAAAGACGGAAACCACTGTCTTGCACGAGGCAAAGAAGAAAGATGAGAGAAAGTTCGCTACCCTAGATGAGGTAATTACAATGGTGGCCGATCCAGGAAGGTGACACGGGTGCAGCGCAAAGTTGGCCCGGAAGGTAGGAACGATCGACGGAGAAGGTAGCCGAGGTCGAAGAGGAGGAGATTAGGGCAAAGAGAAACCGCAACGTAGCTTCAAAGAGGTCTTGCCAGCCAGGGGCGCGTCTACTTAACTTTGATCAGGTCGAGACCGCTGATGCGAGACGAGCCACGCAGAAATAAAGTGGCTGCCGAGTTTCCCGCCTTTTTGCATCTTGAATTATCGACTCCCGATACCACCATATTCGCCTCTTCGAGATATTCCTTCGAAAATTACCGTCCAACCTTGTCCGAGCCAATTTATATCGTTCGAATCTCTCAACTCATCTCGGTAGGATGGAATTTTTCGTGCTGTCGCATGAAAACGACATCCTCCGATGACATCCGAGTGCGACATTCCAAATTACGCATCGCCCTTGAGATATTCGAGTGCCTTCTCAATCCTTATTTGAATGTTTCCCATACATGTTCGTTTGACATCGTCTGTCATACAGGCAGAGATTGAATTTTTTCCTTCAATTATTATTCCCGAATTCTACGTTCCTTACGTTTCACGTTTTGCAATTATATTATTTCGTACATATGTCCTATACTATCCTATTTCACGTATCAAGATACTTTACAAGTGCGTGTTAAAATCGACAGTTCGATAATTAACCCATCTCGAAACATGCACGAGAAAATATTTGCCCGCTATTGAGAAGTTCAACAATTTTCAACGATCTCCTTTCGCCGTGGAGACGAGGCAATAGGCACGATTTATGATAAACGCCGAGAAAACGGAATCGAGTAGCGGGTAAATCTGTTTGGCGAGTGCAACAGGACACTTTTGCCTCGTGCTAGAGAGACGCAACGGTGAATCGTGGCGGAGATCAGCGAGAGAAGAGATGGAAACGGCAGGTTGAATGTCGTTATTACGTTGAATTAGAGGGTGCAGAGCCGGAACGAGGTATGAAACTATTACCTCGCGAAACGGCGGACCTCTCCCTCTCTCTTGATCCCTCACCATCAGCTTCCATCCCTCCCCATTTTGATAGAAGAGAAGGGGTTGGGTGGGGTTTGCGCGTAGTTTCGAGTCGCTGCACGAGCCACGAGGATGCTGGTCGTGAGCGAAAAGATGATGATGCCCGCTATCGAAACCAAAGGAGCGAACAGACCGGAAGACACGACCTTTATCTTTTCGGTCTTACTTGATCGAAACTAGGATCATTGAAAAAAATTATCGGAGGAAAAGATCTGTACAAGTAGAATTTCGACTGCTTTCGGTGTTTCTGTGAAATTCAACTTTGGATATTATGTGTAATAATTATGTGAGGTATTTAAAATAGAGCTGTTACTTGGTACGTTGCGGATTCACAGCCTATTCAAAAATGTAAAATTACAAAAATATTCGTGTCGTATATGTTCAGTGAGTTTTTCAACAATTAGAAGTTGATATATTCTGTTGCACAACTGTAACAGGTTTTACAATGAAACAAACGAAAGTATAAGTCGCACGTTGTGTAAGAAGTTATAAAATTCCACAGAAGAAGTTTGTAATCCACGACTCGAGACATGCTAATTTACAAATTAGTAATTAGCGAAAGGACGAGTCACAGGCTGCAGATTGTTACCTTCTCACTTATAGTTTTAAGTAGAACAGGACTTGGCGAGTCACTAACTTGACAGAAACGTTTCTTGCATAATTCTCCTAATGTTGCCTAGTGAAATGTTTCATCGAGGTTAATAAATATTTGCCACAACAGCACGAGTTCGTAGGTAGATGTTATTATTTCAATCTATTCAATCCAGTTTTACGTGAAACTGTAAATGAGAAATTTATAATCTACAACTTGTAACGTTATTAATTAACTAGCTAACGATATTAATGAATTGATAGGGTACAATTGCGCAGACTTCTCATTTACAGTTTGTAATTTCGCATGAGGATGGACGGGACCAAATGACTTTTCATTTATGTAATTAAGTATGAAATTCCATTCGTTCTATTAACAGACTTGTTACTATTATACAACAGGATGTATTAACTCGTGACTCATAAAATTTCACTAACAATATTACTGTAATTGTGCAAGTGGCTCTGTTAATTAATCAGCCACGTAGCTTGGACATTCTGATTCGAATCGATCCGTTTCGTTTATATCTGCAACCTGTGTAACATTGTAACGAGAAATAGGAGAAAACTGTCCAATACCTCTGTCTCAATCAATCCTTGAAACATACAAGGAAGAAAATCAAAGTTGCAGAAGCTTAATATGTACTATGTTATACCAACGTCAAGAGCATCAATTTCTTAGTAGATATATAAGTATTATATATATGAAGATGTTGAATTCTTCAATAATCCAAACGATATTTTACTAATTCTTGACCTGAAAATTATACTGCCAACTATATACCTATGTACCTAGATACTTAGTATATGTATAAACTGAATGTTTTTCACTGCTTTCATTTTTCCATAAATTTATTGTTTTACAGTCTACACACGGCCAACATAATGTACCAAAAATTAGTCATATCACTATATATATATATAAAATTAGTCTGCTGTTATAACGTTGAGAAAGAAGCACGAAAGCTAGAGCAGAAGATGTAAGACTCACCACCATGCTGAGGACTGTGTTTGTAGCAATCTTGATGAGCCGAGGAGCCACTATTAGCTCCGAGGTGTGTACTGGAAGCAGGCGATGCGGTCGGATCGGTGTTGTTGGGGTTGGTACAGGCACCACTAACCGAATTCGCGGTGACGTTGTTGCCGACGTGATGCTTATTCCTCCTGTACGGTTCTGATTCCCGTAGGTAGGGAGTGAACGGACTTGATGCGTCGGAAAAGGTCCCTCGCGCCAGTCCAGGAACCCGGGGCAGTGCGGGAACTCGCGCCAATCCAGGGATATGTGTCTGCCCTGAAAAATAAACGTAACACGTTTCTCTTTAACTCCACTCCAATCTTACACCACTTTACCACCTCGTGGATTTATTTTCACTTTAAATCAAACTGAACGCAGATCTTTAACTCTCTTTTGTTCCTTCAGTCACTTTTGTTTCTTTCATTGTAAGATTGAAAGATTGTGATCTGTATATTTAAATTTGAAACATGACAGATGCTAAAGAAAGACTAGAGACCTCGTTTATTCTGCCTAAACTTTAAGTTAGTGCATAAATACTTGAATGAAAATTAGTTACTTTCCGCAGTATTAAAGTATATTCTAAAAATCCAAGAATAACATAAATCAATTCAATTCAACAGTACAGACATCATAACAAGAAGAACACGGAGATTTTAAGGAAAAAATCTCGCTGCCCAAAGCAGGGACGTCCAGCGTCCAGAACATAGAGACAAGGAGAGTCAGATGTTTGTGCAATTAGCCCAATAGAGAGGGATAATTAAGAAACTCGAGTGGCTCGTGTCTCTCGATCGACTTCAATAGCATTCCTCGCACATTCCAACCGCCGCCGGTGAATTGATGGAGCCCTCCGGGCAGAGCCAAGTAACGCTCGTGTCTGCATAGTATACACAGCGGACACGGCGATTCTCTATTGGGGCGGGTCGCAATATGCATACAGTCCGTGTGTATCGTTATACGGCGATGCACATTATGCGCCACGTGCATAGGCTCGATTGCTTACGTAATCACTGAACAGGACGTTCAGTGGCAAAATCACTAGGCTATGTAACCTACGGTATTTTATCCGCGAGGTATCGATTCGAGAGAGATCTTTCGATAATTTAGTAGATACACGTCTTTTAGTACAGCCTTTAAAATCCCCGAATGTTGAGGTCGATTTCGACAGTTTTTTCTACACTGTGTTTTTCTTTGAAAAAGATTCTCCCGATCTGCGAAATACACTTGGGACCAGGACTAGGGCAGAGTCGAAGCGTATTTCGCTTCTCGTTTCATTTCCCATTTGAAAAATTCGTCCAAAGATGTGGAGCATGATGTTCTTGGTACCAGGAGAGAAAGCGAAGAATGGGAGCTCGCGAGGCGCAAATTGTTATTCCACCAGCGAGAGAAGGAACGAAAAGAAAGACGAGGGAATAAACAGTGGAAAGAGGGAAGGAAACGCGCGCGGCTGCAAGAGGAAGAAAGACTCGGGCCACGAGGGCGAACGACAAATAAAGTTCGACCGCAAACTGCACGAAATTGTCGGTGAGCCCAGATGGTCAGCTCCGGTGCGCCAACCGATGCCTACAAGATTATTCCTCGCTACCGACTACCACGATCACCGGCCAGGAGAAACAAGGCAGCTCTGTGTTCGACTCCGCGACCGGATCCCACGACTTCTCACGTACCGGACGCTCGTAATGCTCCAAACGTACCGGCCGACACTCTTTTTGGATCGGCTCGCCGCCGTGGTGTTTCCATTCAAGAGGAGCAAAGTAGAATGGGGTTGCAGCACGCCGGCGTATAATTCAGAATGGACGATCGCGACGGTGCAGTGGAGAACGAGGCAGTGCAGTTTCGTCCTTCCTACGAAAAGAGGAAGATACTTCAATCGTAGTGACTTATCCTACGAGAGATTCCTTCTAACATCTCTGGTTGAGGATGTGAAAGCGTGATGATCGTCGAACACGTTGCAGAATGGACGGAGTTGTAACAGTAATACGTAGCTTTCTGAATGAATATCCGAGTGTGTGATCACTGACGACCAATTCTGACATAACAATGTCATCCTTAATTAAATTTCCAGAAGTTTCTCTTATGAATTTTGCTTTAGTGTTGATATCAAAAGAGAATGATACGTATCGAGTCAAAGAACGACGAATGATATTCTTGTATCTCATCCAACAATATTTTCACTAAAAAGAAAATGAAATAAAGAGAATTATCATTAAGTGTACTACATGCGAGCGAAAGAAGCAATTCGACCTAAAAAAAAAAAAAGAAAATTGCTGTACTTAGTTAATTTTATACCTTTCGCAGTGTAAGAGAATTTGACGAATCTAACACACCTGAACGAGGATCGTTGTTCGCTAGATTCAACATCGGAGCAGCAAGGATCTCTTCGAATGTTGGATCATAAAGGTCTGACTTGGCTATCGCGTCGTGCCTGTTCAGGATATCTGAAAACGTACCTGCTATCCGAATCTAGAAGCGGAAAGGCGGTTAATTACAATGAACAAGAACGATCGTGATATAACACCTTCACCGATTGCTCTTTCGTTCTGCTCGTGCAACATGGTGAAGCAGAGAGACGAAGAGAGCGAGAGAGAGGCAGAGAGAACAATAATTCCAATCTCCGCAGCACGAGTGGTGGGCTTATCTAATCAAAGTGTGGCAGCCCCAGAGGACGGAAATAGCGCGGCTTTTTTCCTCCTTTCTAATAATGGGCCCCTCCCTCCGCTCGTCTTACGTCCTCCTTCGCGTCGCAGTCTGCCAGCATTTCGAGGATTTTTCCTCGAATCTTTTCTATTTTTTCCTCGTTAGTTCCCCGAGTTTTCCACCTCTGTGAAAATTTGTCGTCTGAAAGTGGTATCTTTTGAGAGAAGATGTTTCGTTTTTTGTCTTCGTAGAAACTATCCGTTTCTACCATTTTTACGAATCTTTCGTCTTTTCTTTTTTTCGTTTATGAAAGTCTACTTCAATTATCTCTGTAGGTTCAACGAACGATTACTGAAAATAATATCGCTCGATAACGCATGATTTCTCTCGATCCATTCAGACAATCTCGCAGGCATGCTTTTTCCAATACGCGATCACACGATTTTAATACGATAATAATTGTGTTCTACTCCAACTATTTAAGAGTGAAAGTTGATTTTCTTTTCTTTTTCTCTTTTTTTTTTTCGAATCACAGTTGCAACACTTGAGCCTAGGATGAATACGGTCGTGAATTTCAGGATTTCTTTCTATGAGGGCACGGAAAATGATTTCGAAAAAGAGAGAGAGAGAGAGAGAGAGGAACGCGTCGTGTATTCCCCGTCTAATCGAAATTCCAAACGCGGAGCAATTACTAGCCAAGCAAATTCAATTTCAACCTTTGACTGACAGCGGCCGATCCATCGATATTGTTTTGCCGGGAACGTTTCGATGATTTTCGGCCACGGTGACGGCTACCCGGTAGCCACTTTGTTTCGTTCCCTTTTCTCCGTTCGTTTCACCCGATTCATCGCTACCTCTCCCATTCGTTTCCGTTTGATCGGCATGATCGAGGAATTGGCCAAATGTTTTTTTACAATTGAAGAGCAACCAGACCTTCACGGTGATTGACACGAAAATATATCAACAAGTATTAAGAATTATTAAGAAAAATACATTTTAAACGAAGCTTACAGCGCATAGTAACTCTTCGCGTTGTCATCTACTCCAATGTAAACCGTAATACCGTCTATCTGTACTCTCAGAGAGGAATTATTACGAAAGATCCAAAGATCGTATAATACAATGAAGTTTAATGTTCAGAGCAATAGTAACTCTTCATCGACTTAAACTCAAAGTTTATTCCAGACTTTGCCGAGGTTCCTGATACGTTCAAACGGTTCCAGTCAGACTGTCGCAGCCTTGGTACGAACGTTAATCCGGTTACGTGTCGTTCCAGGCTACGGTGGCCGCGTTTGCAGTATTTACACGCGCTGACGGGCCAGCAGAATTACAGAAATTGCACGATTACCAGCGAAACAGCCGGTGGTGAGGCGCGACCGACGGGCGGGTGAGAAAGAGAGTCGAAAAATGGGGCGGGCAGAGGTGGTGATTTTCGATAACAAAAAGCTCATGATTATCCACGCAATAATGATAGCCGGCAGGTGTCTGCGGAGCCGGCGCGCTTCGCCATCGTTGCGAGGACAATGAAAGCGCCGGTTGTTTTGCCCGACGGCGCTCGTACGCTGGTCGTTACATAGATTGTCCCTGGTGCGTGCCACGGCCAGGAGGAGCCACGCCATCGCCGCCCGAAAATTCGTGTATGCAATATGTCGTGATGCGTGTCCTGTCTCTCGGCCGTCGATTCCTTTCATCCGCCGGATTCCGTCTGGAATAGTTTTCACGCGTCTGTCTGCCGTAGCCTCGGACCGATGCTGTCCGTTGTCACGCTCATAGCTGCTCGGTTGCTTCGACTGGCCAACATCTCGCGTCTTTGAAGATCGACGAAGGTTTTCAGATCGATCTTTATATATATCCTGAATTGTTTTGATATTTAATGTTGGAGTTTTCTAGAGACTGAAGGAGAAACTAGCGATCTGACTCGACGAATGATAACTGGTATTAGAAATAATATTCACCGTGGCCACTGGAAAGCATGGATCTTTGGGAATTGGAGAAGTAGATACTGGACTCTTTCAGCGGATGATCTTTAGAGTTAAAAGGATTGTTCGCCGCAAGACCAGCGTTATTTGCTTCCACTACAAAATCTTGAATCTCTGAAGACTGAAGAAGAATAGTGAATTGTTTCAATCTTTGATTCGATTTTCTTTTTTGTTTTTTTTTTTTTTTTTTTGAAATTGAAGATGTCTCAGATGTCGATTATCTTCTTTAACGAAAGTGACTTGGATTTCTAAAGACTGAAGAGAAGTTGATGATTTCTCAAGCATCGTTTACTTGGCCTTTGAAACTAAACAGAAACATTCATCCGAAACATTAAATGCAATCTACGTTTTTCACGACTATAAACAATTTTTTCATATTCCGTTGATCTCTATATATAGTCAGAAAAACAGCGAAAAAAAAAAAAACATCAATTTGCTTGTTTTGATTTTTCGCGACCAAAGTGCATGCGATCAAACACGTCAAGCGCGTACAGACAACTGTCAGCCTTTCTCTATTAACAAATAAATATTTAGAGATTCTATTCTGTCTCCCTGGCCGACGACGGTTCGTTTCCATCGCAAAAAATATATATTTTCGCGACAAAGTCGACGACTATTATAGATTTCTACGCTTAGGCGTGCATCGATTGGCCTGCGGAACGTGAACGAACGATAAAAACGTTAGAAAAATCAATCACGCTGGACCATTTCGAAAAACAACGGCAGTGAAAAAAAAAAAAAAAAAAAAAAAAAGAAAAATCTGTGAGACTGGTGGGCACGCATCGTCCTACGCCTATCAATACTTTATACAACAAATGCGAAACGTCCGCAAAAAGCTGCCGTATTCGTGGTCGACTC